TTAGCAAAACACCAAAAAAAGACATTTTTTAAAATTTATGCAAACAAGAACTAGGATATAGACCAGAGGTACTGGGGTGGGGTGGGATGAGAGGATTCACTAAAGAAGGAGCGGGGAGCAGAACAGTTGGGTTTACTGAAATACACTGCTGAGGGGAAAGACAGGTGGGTCAGTTCCCTGGCTAGGGATCTAGCCAGAGATCGAACCAGGCCACAGTGGCTGTTGATAGTTTCATAGTGCTGACTTTAATCCCTGCACCACCAGAGAGACCCCCACAGTTTTAATCTGTATATCAAGCTCCTAAAATTTTGGTAACATTTTAGTGATTTATTGCATTTTCAATCTTCATCTGCAGGTACCATGCTTTGTAGATATAATCATTATCTTTTTTTTCCCCCAGTTTAAACTTGTACTGCAGAAAGATGTTTTGAGAAAGGATACAGGGACCTATTCAGCTCTTTCCAAGCCCATTTGTCAAGTGGATTGCATTTGTGCCTCTCTTAAAAAGATGGCTTACAATGTATGAAAGCAGTTTTTGTAAATTAATATCATCATTAAATATAAGCTGGCCTCCTTGTACACCTCCCTCAACTTCTTGTTATGCAAGACTGCCATGCTGGGCTGCACAGACAGAGGTTTTGTCATGACCCTGGGGCCCAGGGGACTATTAACTTACAAGACTTTCCCTCGTTTGCTTTTACGTGTCTGAAATTATTTCAGACCTTACTGACTGAAATACAAGTTATTAAATACACTTTAACGAAGGTAAGAAGTGCTTTTGTTTCCCCTCCTCCTCCCTTTGGAGAAAAGATGGTTGGGGATAAATTAGTGTCCTTCTAAGACTTTTGTCCTGCCTGTTTCTGAAGAGCTATAGCAAGACATAGCTCACAATGAGAAAGGAGTGTTAAACTAAAAATCAAGCTGCATTGATGTAAGGTAAGATCTTAGCTGCAATTTAAATATTACCCTACAATTAACAACATAATTTGTCAAATGTCATGAGTTCTAGTTGAGCGGAGATACTGGGTGTGAGTAGAATCAGGACAGAGATTCTTGGGTTTTTGGATGTCAGAGATTCCTAACTTTGCAAAGTACCTTTGTCCCCTTCTTTCTGGTTGTCCTCTATTCCTAGAGGTGCCATGTGGGGGAAGGAGCCTGATCTGAAGCCTCTTGACAGTGTGGATTTTTATCCCTTCTTGCCCACCTGAGTGTGGCTCAGTGCAGACAGATCTGTTCCAGTGTGTGTCTGTGTGTTCCTCACAGGTACAGGGGGAGACACTGAGTCCAGTCACAGGAGTTTGGAAAGTGTCTGTGGGTCACAGCAGCTGGAAAAGGTCTGAGTCTCTCTGGCAGATGTTTGCTGTTCCAGCCACCTCATTAATGTTGAAAACTAAAACCCTGAATATTCCCTACCAAAGCCCCACTTTGTGACTGACAGCTGGGGTGTGCTTCCTGGAAGCCCCTTCCAGTCTGCCAGCAGGAGAGAGGGATTGAAAAGAGCAAAATAGGAACTGGGTTAGATGTTACTGCTTGGAAAAAAAAAATCAAGGAAGAAGAGAGGGATTTGCTGAATGAGAAAGATAAATCAGTGCAGATTTGAGGCCCCATCATGTGCTTGAGCCTTTCCCACATTATATAATTATTCCAGTTTTCATTTCCTCATGACATATTATACTGCAAACCTAAGATATACCAGGTTAGTTATGCTGGTACTGGTGATACAAGATGAGTAATAATACCCAAGGTATTGGTCCACCCGGAGTTCATTGTCTGCTATATGAAATAAACACAGCAGCAAAGGGACCACTAAAACCGAGGTAGGAATGACAGCCCTGGGGGGTGGGGAACCTCTTTCCAGAGAAGGTGACATTTGAGATGGGTCTTGCACTAGTTTTCTAGACAGAAAAAGAGGCAAGGGAGAGACCTAGAGGGCAGTCCCATTAAAGAGGCAGTTTTATAAAGACATGGATTATAAAAGATCAGCTCTGTGGAGTAGGTATTATGGTTAACACTTATAAATAAAAAAAGGGGGTTCAACTTCGATAATAAGCAACACAGAGCGAGGGAGCCAGCTAGAGGATTCACTATCCAAACTCTGCAATCTTTCCCTCCACTACACCTGGAGAATCCTGTCCTCAGACTCCTTCTGAAGTTCCATTAGCCTCCGTGGTGGAATACGGGAAATCCAGGAGTTGAATAGAAATATTTTACCTCTCTAGCTATTTATAACACTGCATGGACCAATGTGCAGAGGAGTCTGAGCGAATTTTTGGCCTGTGGTTGAGGAGTGGCCCGCAGGCGTGAAAGTAGCAAGCCGGGTGGGGTGTGGTGGGACCCCCTCCCCCAACCTCCCAAAGGCGAGCTCCAGCCGACAGAGGACCCGACTTTGGCGCCGTCAAGCTTGGCGTGGCGGTGCCGAGTCACAGGGGACCGCAGGGCTCTAGAGCCCGGGTGAAAGAGAAGGGAGGAGAGAAAGAACAAGGGAAGGAAGAGAAGGGAAGAAGGAAAACGAGAAAGTGGAGGAAATGTGGGAGGGAGGGAAGAAAAGGGTGAAGAAGAGGGAAAAGAGAAGGGGGGAAGTTCCTCCGAGGAGCAGAGGCCCAAAATGCTGGGAACAGCGTGGGTAACAGAGAAATGGCCGGGAGAAGAGGAAAGGAGTTATTAGCAAGGAACAAAACGGGAAGACAGTGTGTGTGTGTTGTGGGGCCGAGGTGGGGGGTGGTGGGGGGGGGGGACGGTGGCGGTGGGGAGGAGGAGAATAGTTCCAGCAGAGGGGTAAGGAGGTTGAGGCAAAGGAGGACTGTGAAAGACGCAGCCCGAAAGAGGAGCGCGGAGCGCGCGCACTCGGTGTGCGCACCGCGGGGCCAGACGAGATGTGCAAGTCGGTAAAGCTCAGTCCCCGCGCCCAGTTTCTGGTGTTGTGGTGCGGCTAGCTTCCAGGGCGCTGGGCCTCCAGCACTCCAGCCTCCTTGCAGTTCGAGATGCGGATGAGGTCGCCTCCACCTAGGGCTCCCGAATCCTGCCAGTTTCTCCGAGGCTGCCTACAGCCCCCTCCTACTCCTCTGCAGGGAACGAATATAACCCACCGAGATGTTCCTTGGCGGGAACGCCGGGCCCCGGGAGCCCGTTTTGGGCTAGCTACGCAGCCCAGCCCCTCTCCGCTGGCGCGCAGGAGAAGCCCCGGGCCGTGGCGCGGGGTGGCTCGCCCAGGGCTGAGCCCGGGAGCGGTCCGCGGGACATCAGACCGGTGACCCGAGCCGGCCACCAGCCCCGACCCAGAGCAGAAACTCCGGACCTTGGGCTGTCCACTCGGCCGCATTTCTCCCGTGCCTCGGAGCCGCCTCCGGTGGAGGAAAATAAACGGGAACTGTCCTCAGTTGGGAGAAGGGATGGAGAGGGGAGCCAGGGCGCACTCAAACGTTCGGGAACGAAGTGCCTCAAAGACGCGTAGCGAGCCTTGTCTAATGCTCACTTGGATTCGGTTTGTTAATCTCTATTTTCTCCAAGTGCCTGTTAGTCCTCCAAGTTTGTCCCTCCCTTCCGCACTGAATCGCCGGCCCCAGCGTGCGCTTTCCCTTGCTCCCGCCGCGACTTGGGACTCCCGGGCGAGCAGCTTCGGGGTGAGCCCGCCACGACTTGGGGCAACTTCCACGTTTTGAACGAGGGAAGTCACCGACACGGCCGTCGCCTCTATATCTCTCCTTCTCTGTTTCGTGGTGCGTTTTCTTCCCTGTCCTGTGCACAGCCACTCCTAGACCCAACCGTGGGAAAGGCGCCCGGTTCCCGCCAGCCCCGGCGCGGTGGCGGGCGGGAGGCAGCGGGACGGGTCCGGGGCGCGCAGGCTGGATGGGGATTCCCCCAGCGCCCAACCAGGCCAACGGAAAACAAAAGTCCTCCTGTATTATAGATCAGAACCTACTTAGAATTGGGGAGCTGGGAGGAAGAAGTAAAAAAAAAACATGCAAACATGTGGCTTTGCAGCTCCCGGAGTCCTTAGAGTGGTGGGAGCCCTGAAAAGGAACAGCACCTCTTCAGGAGTCGCTGGCACTGGGAGACGCCGTGAGCCCGACTGCCTCCAGCACGCTGGAGTCACGCTGCGGACGCCCTTCCAGCGACAGAAGTTTATAAATAGAATTTAAAAACAAACAAACAAACAAAACCCCCCCGTACATTTTGACTACTTTTGTTGTTGTTGGCACTTTATTAACGGACAGGACAAGGGTCACTTATGGTTTGGGGTCTTGGTGGGGGACGTTTGCAAGCTGCGTGCAAAAGCCCGGCGTTCGGAGCGTCCGGGTCAGCACCGACTGCGAGCGTAGGGGGCCGGAGGGGAGGTGGATGTCCTCAGAAAGCGGCCCTTTGGGGTCCGTGAGTGGAAGGAGAAAAGCACGCTGATCCTCAGGGGGCGCCAGCCTCGGAAGCTGGCGCGAAGACTGCCCTTCTTTCTAGTCAGAGACTTGGATGTGCCCGCTAGCTCGCGAGGCCCCGCGGGAGGCGAGACCCTGACGAAGAAGGTGCGCTGGGGACGCCGCCGGCTGTGGGTGCACAAGCCGGGCAGGCGGGCCGGGGCGGAGCGCGCTCCAGGCACTGCGCGCTCACTCGCGCGCGCACGGTGCGCACACACCTGGAGCGCCAGGAGGGGGGCGGGGAGGAGAGCCAAAGCTAGTGTCTTAAAATAGAGAGGCAGGCAGGGCAGCGCGAGACTCCGAGAGGCGGGAGGAGGCGAGCTAGAGCGGCGGGCACGCGGCGCGCAAGTCAGCGCCCGGGTAGCACAGGCGGGTTGGGCGGGGTGGGCACCTACGCCCCTCGGCTGCCGCCCCTTGGCGCGACTCCGCACAGGCCCTGCAGGCAGCGCGCCCTGATTGACAGCAACACTGTCCCAAAAAGGCTCCGCGAAGATGCTGATCTGCGGGTGGGTCTAGACGCGCTACACGCGTGCCAGGTCTCGGGTCCCCTCTGTGCGTCTCCCGAATCCCGCGGCCTCCGTGCTGCGGAGTATAGGGCTGAGGCTCCCGCAGACGCTCCAGCCTCCGCGGTCCCCGCCGGCCGGGCAGTCGCAGCCGCGCTCGGGCCGGCGGGCGCTCGCCCCGGCTCACCATGCATTGCCACGCGGAACTGAGGCTGAGCTCGCCCGGCCAGCTCAAAGCAGCCAGGCGGCGCTACAAGACTTTCATGATCGACGAGATCCTCTCCAAGGAGACCTGCGACTACTTTGAGAAACTTTCCCTCTACTCCGTTTGCCCGTCGCTGGTCGTGCGACCCAAGCCCCTGCATTCTTGTACTGGTAAGAAGCCCCGCCAGGGGGTTGGCGCGGTAGCTTTCACGGTTTCCGGGCGTCTTATTGCCCCTGTTCTAACAGGGCGAAAGGAAGGGCTCCGGGAAGTCTCCTGCTCCACAACAAGGGGATTATACTCTCCAGCGGCGGGCACGGCAAAGGTGTCCGCCACCTGGGAAGGGCTGGCAAAGTTTGGCTCGGCCGGGTGGAAAAGAAGCGCGGGGCGGCGAGTCCCTAACTGCGTACCGCGGGTGCAAAGCTGCTGATCCGCTCGCGGGAGAACGTTTCCTCCTCGCAGCACGTTGTGGTTTTCAGTCAGAAAGTTCAATACTTGACCTGGTTCAGTGCCTAAGTAATTGTTGCAGGAAGTGGTATTGGTTCTCACTTTGACCTCCTCTACTGTCTCCCCTGGAAAGTTTTCAAGTCAAATAGTATCCGGAGGTTCTTGACAAAATCCTGAGCTCAATGAATTATATACGCAAAGAGGGATCTCGCTCTAGGGAAGGAGTGCTGGAATATGCCTCCTATGTTGCTAGCAAAAGTCAACCCCGTATATTTTACGTCATTTAATAAAAAAAAAACCCACCCCAATAACAATAAAACACTCCTCAAATCGTGCTTCCGACCTTCACAAGAGCGAAGACCAATAGCAAAAATATGTGTGTATATGTATGTATGTATATGCATATATGAGTGTATATACATAGGCAATATATTCGGTGTATGTAGAAAATAAATCCAAAGATACTTAAAACCTTGAGTGTGTTAAAGAGAATTCCCAAGTTTCAAAGTGCCTTTGCATTATAAGGATTTAGGCTACTGAAACTTAAGTAAAGCGGAACAAAAAAAGAAAAGTGGTAGCAATTTTTATCAAAAGTTATTGACTGTTTTCAACTAAAGATAGAAATTCAATATTTCCAAACCAAAAGGACCTCTGACATTTGTTTATTGCATGGGTGGCATAGAAGCCATTAATTTGTAAGACCCAAAAGTGAAGAAGTGAAGTGAAGAAGGACCCGCGATTGGCAAGCATTTTTCTTTTTTTTTTTTTAAATACTGAGGCCCAGAGCTCTGAATGTTTTGAATCCTATATTTTCTGTTGATTGCACTGATAGTCCCTCATATAAATGTAAGTATATACAATAAAGTGCTTTTAAAACCAAGTTGTTCTTACATGAAATGAATGACACTGTGTTCAATTATTGCTTTATAAAATAAAATTTCTCTGTAAGATAGAATTAGATCTGATAGCCCATAGCAAGACACATAATATTAAAATTTAAAACCAAATATATACAAAAGAAAAAATAAGTAGGGCATGTCATAAGCAAGTTAGATCTCCTTGATATTTTATACATTTATGTCCTGTTTAAATCTTTGGATGGGTCGTCTGTCTACATGGGTGTTGGCTAGAGGAGGTAGGTTGAATCTTGTTGTAAGCATAAATAATCATTTGCTACAAAAATTCAAATACCTCTGAGGATAAAGAGAGGACCCACTTTAATCACACATTGCAATGCATCCTGCTAAGACATTGTAGACCTGGAGGTCCCTAAGACAAAACAGAACTTCTCCTGAACCTCAATGAATCACAAGAGAGTCAACAACATTTTTAGTGACTTTGGCCATACATTGACTTGAAGGCAGATTTTCCAGGCTTTAGCAGACACGGAATTAGATCATAGAAGAAAATATGCTAGAAATAGAGTGATAAATAGCCTCAGAAAAACAGCGGTCTAGTCATCAGTCAAGGCTGAGTAAATTCTGAGTTTTATTGAATCTTGTGTAAAGTAAATCTGAGGAAAACAAAATGATTCAAGTGTCACTTTGTGAACGTTAAAAGTGAGCTGCACATGTATAAGGAACTAATCGTTTTGCTTAGTCTTGTGCTTTTGAAGTTCTTTGATGCTTGGGGGAGAGGGTGGTTATTGGCAGTGGTGTTCTTGCCCTATTATTCCAGTGTTTGCTTTCTTTAGGTTGTTCCTTTGAAAGTATATAGTGATTTTGCTCTAGTTGATACTTAAAATATAGAAACTGGGATTTGCCAACGGAATTAAACCCATAAAAACTGGCTACAATCGTCCATACTTTCAGATCATAAGCCTTCAGCGGGTTTACAATTACAGTTAAAGCCTTACATGCATTAGATCATGGGAATCCCATTAGTGATTTCTCAAGGGTTTTGCAAATACTGTACTTTCAAAGCATTTTGTCCTTTTAAACAGTTATGTTCAGGATCAAAATCTTTGATTGGATGAATCGAATCTTAAAAAATGTTAATTTTAAAAGTGGCACTAAGTTGCCCGTATCCATAATAAAAAGCTATACCCCTATATATATTTGCCAAATAGAGATAAATATTTAGCATGTTCAGTGCAACCACTGAATAAAAGCAAGGAGTAAAATCCAAGAAAAGGCATAAATTGGAATTAAAGTTACTGAACTTTTTCACTCATTGGTTGCTATTTTAAGATTTAAATAACTGACAGAAATGAACTTTGTCAGATAATAAAGAAAACTATGATTAAAAAAGCTAACACCTTTGAAAATAAGTACATAAAATTGTAGAAAGAAAGCTACAACATTTAATAAACTTCTGCACTGCATATTGTTTAGATTTAGCAAATCCAAACATCAGTTTATGTTATGGAATCTCCTCAGGCAGAAAAGAATACTTATTCAAGTAAACTGAGAAATGGAAACATTTTTCATCAGGCAGATAATCACCTGACAGTATTTATTATTAGACACTCTTATCTTGATGGAGTACTCATCTTTGAAAAACATTATTGTTTCTTTTAACAGGCCCCCTTCTTATTTTACATGTAATAATTTTAGCCTTAGAAAACTGTCTCTAAATTTAAGATCACTTAAATCCCTTGATAGACATTAAAAGGAATTCTTTCCTTCTAAATCAAACTAAAGGAAGACATCATTAATGTCATAAATTTTAAAATAAAATTTAGGAAAAAACTAAACTGAAAGAGAGCTTACGTTAGAAAATAAAATTGTTAGTTGAACCATTGATGAAGTGTGATAACCCCTATATGTTTAGAGTTAACTTAGTGTGTAACGTAGTCACTTTATTTTAAAATCTGATAACAGTAATCCCCATTCAGAATGGAACGATAATTCAATTTAGAAATCAGTAATGATCTCTCATGAACATTAGAACATTGACAGTGATTGACCGCCAAGAATGAAGTGCAGATTATACTATGGTAAATACTGTTTAAGTCTGAGTGCACTGTTTTACTCTACAGGCTGTGAGGATTGTTTCTTGGTGGAACAATCTGTGAAAGAAACCTGGCATCTCAGGACAGAATAGATTGCAGCAATATTAGCACAATCATTCTCGAGGCATCTGCTCTTTCAGTTTGATCTTTAGAAACAGACAAAAACAGTTTCTAAGTTTGGGGGGTGTTTGGAAAAAGTGGGTAACTTCTTGACAGAAAGGAGGATGTAACAATTTACCCTAAGGGTTTTCACAGGAGGATGCTGAGAAAAGAACCTACTGTGCTAATTACTTATAAGTTGTTATAATTATTTATACTTATAACCTATAATTACCCTAGACTTGTACATGTACATTTGGGGGGAGGGGGATGTAGCTATTTGGGCATTTTACAACCTGTGGCCAGTAAGTGCCTTTTAAATATACAAAAAACTATATAAATTTACTTTTTCTCCCACCTATACCACAAATGAATCTTTGCATGACCTTGAGTGGCCAGGCTTAGGGAACTGACTGTTAAACCACAAAGTGGGAAGGGAGAGTAGAAATCACAGATCAGTCTTCCCAGGAAGAGGGTACATTTTTGCAAAGTGCAAAGGTCATAGAACTTAAATGCAGTTTTGGGTCACACTGGAAGCCGTTGTCTTTCTCACTAGGGTACACAGAAGTCAGGAAGACTTCAACTTGGTTACACACCCGGGATAAATCTATGCAGTCACACCCAAGGGACAATCAACCAGCCAATTAAAAGGGGCATTTGGGGAAAGGTGTTTATCTTAGGAGGTGGCACTGAGAACATTTTATCCTCTGGTGGGTGCAAGAGAAACAAGTTCTTTGGGGTGGTGTCCTTGGGTTCATATTTATCACAAAGATTGGGTGTCATCCAGTGAAAACTAAAATGAGCTGTGGATGTGTAGGGTGATTTCTTAGGGAGCTGGTTACTCCTTCAGGAGTTGGTTCTAACAATCCCCAAATCTCAGTTTGGGCTTTGAGTCCGAGACCAAAGGATCCCATAGGATCTTGGAACCTGAGAGCTGGGCACTGGAATGTTAATGGAGAGAAATGTAAACTGGGGTTTGAGAAAATGATCACTATCAGCAAGCATTTGTGTTTCTGCCAGAGGCAGAAATATTAGCAATTAGTCATAACTGCTTCTCCTGTTCCCATTGTGAGGGATAGTAAATGGAGGGTATGTGCATAAAAAGGATTCATCAGGGTTACAATATATTTGATCTGAGATTTTTGGGGGTTCTCAGTTGTTGTCTTAATGTTCCTTAAATTTTCTGACTCATTGGTTAAGTAGAGACACGAAGGGTTTCCCTAGAAGTCGTTCTAGCTAGCAAATAGTTCATTAGCAATTTCTTCTCAGGCTCTGATTTTTATAATAGCAAATAGAAAACTGATTAAAAACTTAGTTCACAAGTTAAAATGCCTCTCCAAATGGCTATAAACTTTTGTATTGAATTAAATTCAGTATTGTATTCAATAATTTCATTCAGCAAAAATTTACACTTGCTTGGTGACAACACAGTAATGTTCATTATTTTTAAGTTCTAAATTGAGACTGTTAAGAAATTTTAAAAAATTTAAAAAAATTTTTAAACTACTTGTAGAGCCACTTTGCTAAGCATTTCTTTATTGTTCTCTAAAGTATCTGATGTGCTGGTTAGAATTGGACTAGGGGAACTTTGTGACAATTTAATATTTTTGCTTACCATATGGAATTTTCTCTTTGACCTCCACCGATAGGGTGTTATCACCAGCAAAATTGTCA